GCTGCTGCTGCTGCTGCTGCTGCTGTTGCTGCTACTGCTAATGCTGTTGCTGCTGCTGCTACTGCTATTGCTGCTGCTGCTGCTACTGCTGCTGCTGCTGCTGGCACTGGAGTGTATAGGCAGCTGTATTTGTACTTTAGGGCTCTCCTCCTTCCGATTGTGTATATGCATATATATATATATATATATATATATATGCACATTTCTATATTATGTATACATATGCATAATAGACTATATATACTATATATAGATAAATATATTAATATAAAAAGAATATTTAATGAGTATTAATTAATGAGTATAAAAAGAATATTTAATGAGTGTGGGGTTTTCGTTCGATGTTGGCGGCCCCAATTATTTAAAAGACAAACAACGCCCAGCTGTCTTGTTCTGTTGTTCTCTTTATATTTTATTTATTTATTTATTTATTTATTTAGTTAGTTATTTATGCTGAACAAACTCAAACAGCAACTACATGCAACGAAAAAACACCCCCTATCCTGCCCCTTTTACAATCCCAACATGGCTAGCTAGCTAGCTACCTAGCTAGCTAGCCAGCCAGCTAGCTGTATAGCTAGCTAGTCAGCTATAGGGCTAGCTAGACAGCTAGCTAGCCAGCTATACAGCTAGTTAGACATATAGCTATGTGCACAGCTACCTGGGCGTGTAGCTAGCTAGCTAGAAAGCTAGCCAGGCACATAGACAGATGAGCAGCTAGCTGGATAGCTAGCTAGGCATACAGCTTGCTAGCCAGCTAGCTAAGCAGCTAGCCAGCCAGCTAAGCAGCTAACCAGCTAGCTAGCCAGCTAATCAAGTGCCTTCGGAACCCGTCTAAATCTGTGGCTAGCTATCTATCCAGCTAGCTAGCTGGATAGCCTGCTAGTCAGCGACATTCAGAGATAACAAACAGCTAGCTAGCTAGCTAGCTAGCTAGCTAATAAGGCAAGCAACGAGGCCAAATGGAGTTTCAATGGCTGCGCTTCTTCTTGTGAGACCTGAAGAAGAAGAAAACAAAGAAAAGATAAAAAGTAAATAAAGAAATAGAAGTAAGAGATACAAATAGACAAAAAACAACAAACTAAGAAAGATAATATAATATAATAAATAATATTTATATTTATTACACATACATAGTAAATAAATATACAAATAATATATAATAAATATACATCAAAGATGAAGAAAGACAAAGAAAGACAAAAAGAGAGGAGACACAAAAGAAACAAAGGAGACAGCAAGACAGACAAACAAAAACAAAAAAAAAGCAGAAGAAGAAAAACAAAAATAAAAACAAAAACAAAGAGAGACAAACAAAAACAAATAAAAAGAAGAGAGACAAAAACAAACAAAAACAGATATATATAATATATATATATATAAACAAAAGACAGAGACTGAAAGAGAGACAGAAGCAATAATAAAGACAGACAGAGACACAAACAAAAATAAAGAGAGACAATAAAGAGACAAAGACAAAGACAAAGACAAAGACAGAAGGAGACAGAAATAAACAAAGAGACACAAAGAAAGAGACGAAAAGACTGAGAAGTGCAGCAGCAGCAGCAACTATTACATACTTTTTGTGTTTATTCTTCTTGTCTTTCTTTTGCTTCTTCGATTTCTTCTTCTTCTTCTTCCGCCGCTCGTCATCGCTGCTGCTGCTGCTGCTGCTGCTGCTGCTGCTGCTGCTTCTGCTGCGCTTCCTCCGTACCCCCAGAGGCGGTGGGCCCTCATCATCGCTGCCGATCCCCAAGGCGCGACGCAAACGCTGCAGCAAACCACAAACCCTAAACCCTAAACCCTAAACCCTAATGTTGCTGTTGTTGCTGCTGTTGCTGCTGCTGTTGATGTTGCTGCTGCTGCTACTGCTGCTGTACTACAACCACTACTACAACTACTACAAGTACTGCTCCTACTCCTGCCGTTGCTCCTGCTGCCACTGCTACCGCTGCTGCTACTGCTCCTACTCCTGCCGTTGCTCCTGCTGCCACTGCTACTGCTGCTACTGCTGCTGCTGCTGCTGCTGCTGCTGGGGTTACCTCATCGTCTTCTTCTTCTTCTTTCATCTTGAGAGTTCTGTTGAGGGTCTCCGTTTTCTGCGGATCCACCAGCCGAATGTCGTTTCGGCATTGAAAAGACAAATGACCCACTGCACAAACATACAAATCAAATACATTATACCTAGCTAGCTAGCTAGCTACCTAGCTACATCCTAGCTAGCTAGCTAGCTAGGTAGCTACATCCTAGCTAGCTAGGTAGCCAGCTAGCTAAGTAGCTCATGGCTAGCTGGGCTGTATAACGGCAGCAAACGGCACAGCAGCAGCAGCAATAGCAGCAGCAGCAGCAGCAGCAACAGCAGCAGCAGAATGAAGAGAAGTACCTTGATTGCATTTGGTGCATGCACCGGGTGTATGAGTGCTGAGTGTTCCTGTAAGTCTGGCGAGCGTAAGCAATTCTTTAGCTTTGTCTTTAAGCGCATCTTCTGCTGCTGCTGCTTCTTGCTGCTTCTCTGGGGCATAGGGATCATACCCCACACTCTCCGTCCATATTGCATGCGTTCGAAGTGAAGCAGACACTGCAACACGATTGCTCTGAGGCATACGAACCCATCCTGCTGTAGCCGGCATCTTCTCTTGCTGCTGCTGCTGCTGCTGTTGTTGTTGCTGTTGTTGTTGCTGCTGCTGCTGCTGGTAGTGGTGGTCCTGCTGATGCTCTTGTTACTGCGGTGGCA